ACTATTGTGACCCACAGGGGAGCCTTTAAGGTAAAAAGGCTGCAGTTTGGAGTGAATGTCGCTCCTGGGATTTTCCAAAGCGTAATGGAAAACACACTACGAGGTATACCAGGGGTCTGCCCCTACTTTGACGATGTCTTGATTGCAGGAGACTCCACACACATTCTAGCTGAAAGGCTTAGGGCTGTCCTGTTAAGATTCAGGAAATCAGGCCTTAAGCTCAGAAAAGACAAATGCAAGATTGGGGTGCCTTCTACTGAATTTCTGGGATTCAAAATTGATGCTGCTGGGATTCATCCTGCTGAATCCAAACTAACTGCTATTTTAGAAGCACCCAGGCCAAAGTCTAAGGCCGAACTTCAGGCCTTCTTAGGCCTCCTGAATTTCTACAATTCTTTTCTTCCACATAAAGCTAGTGTAGCTGAGCCTCTTCACAGGCTACTAGACAAACAGCTGTGTGGCTGTGGTCACAAGCACATGAGGCTTGCTTTAAAGAAGTCAAGGCCTTGCTCACTTCTAACAGTGTTCTTGCACATTTCAACGAGTCTCTTCCTGTGTGCATCGCTTGTGATGCATCCCCCTACGGGGTTGGAGCTGTCCTGAGTCACCTCAGGTCTGATGGAACTCAGGTTCCTATTGCATACTACTCCAGAACATTGTCTTCTGCCGAGCGCAACTACGCTCAGATAGACAGGGAGGCTCTGGCTGTTGTTGCTGGAATTAAAAAATTCCACGATTTTCTATATGGCAGGCATTTCACGGTCTTCACTGACCATAAGCCTCTGCTGGGACTGTTTACCACACGTAAGCAGACTCCCCACATCATTTCCCCTAGAATGCTTAGGTGGTCTATTTTTTTGTCTGCATATGATTTTTCATTACTCCACAAGCCTGGGAAAGAAATGGGCCATGCTGATGGCCTCAGTAGGTTGCCTCTGCCAGTAGTAGAAGCTGACCCCGCGCCAGCTGTCAACATTCTATCAATCCAAGCCTTACCCGAGCTTCCTCTTAGTGCCAGGGATGTTACCGCTGAAACAGGTACAGATCACACACTTTCACGTGTCCGCTCCTGGGTCCTGTCCGGGTGGCCTGAGCACTGCCCTAGTCCTGAGTTTCAGAGTTTCTGGTCCAAAAGGAACGAATTGTCCCTTTCTCAGGGTTGTCTGCTTTGGGGAAACAGAGTTGTCATTCCCACCTCAATGAGGACTAGGGTCTTAGAATCCCTCCACGAGGGTCATCCTGGCATTGTTCGTATGAAGGCTCTTGCACGAAGCCACTTGTGGTGGCCTGCTTTAGATAAAGATATTGAGGCTAAGGTACACGCATGCCACATGTGCCAACGATCTCGCCCAGAGATGCCCCAAGCTCCTGTGCATAATGGGAGGAAACACAGTCCCCATGGTCTAGGGTGCACATTGACTACGCTGGGCCCTTTCAGGGCCAGTTCTTCTTGGTCCTTGTTGACAGCCATTCAAAATGGCTTGAGGTTGTGCCTGTCTCATCCACCACCACTGCAAAGACTATTCAGGTACTGAGGGGGATTTTTGCTGCACACGGGCTGCCAGATGTCATTGTGTCCGACAACGGCCCTCAATTCACCTCCTCCGAATTCCAAGCTTTCTTACAGGCAAACCTGATTCGTCATGCCACATCTGCGCCTTTTCACCCATCCACCAACGGTATGGCTGAACGCATGGTGCGCATCGCAAAGGACGCCTTGAAGAGACTCACCTACGGGGACTGGCATCACAGGTTGGCTGACTTTCTCCTTTCTTATCGCACCACACCGTCCACTTCTACAGGGAGAAGTCCAGCTGAACTTCGTTGGGGGCGCCAACTTACTACGAGACTTGACCGGTTGCATCCGGACAGACTGCCTTCATCTACCTCACATCCTAGGGCACCTAGACAACTACTTGTGGGTGCCCCGGTTTGGGCTCGCAATTACGGGCCTGGTCATACATGGGTCCCCGCTTCTGTGTCCAGGATCACAGGTCCTCTCTCCTACGAGGTTGCCCTGGACAACGGTCGTGTCCTGCGTCGGCACATCGACCAACTCCGCTCTAGGCGGGACTTTTCTGCTGAAACTCCTGGGTCTTTTCCAGGGGGGGAGGGGGACCCTTTGGAGCAAAGGGAAGGGCAAGAGCTACTGCCCATCGCCACTGAGGGAGCCACAAACGGCTCGTCCCAAGGTTCTGCAATTGCTCCGAAAAGGAAGTCTTGGAGCTTACCCACACAACAGGCACTCACGCCTACTCCAGCCAGGGAGTTACCCCGGGGGCATACTCACTTTCCACACACAGCACACAGCACTCCAGCAACGGAGGATACCCGGGGGCATCCCAACAAATCATTCCCCGCAAGAGAGCTGGCACACAATGCCCAAGGTTGGCCTGACCTTACCCCAAATCCTACAGGGGGTCAAACATACACAGAGCTAGTCGAGGAACCAAGTCCCGACTACAACACCCCTAGCACAAATCAGGGGACACCTGAGTTTTGGGAGAGTACAGAAACCCACACGAGCCCAAACACAGAATGGGGTTCAGGGAATAGACAGCCTCCTGACAGGTCTTGGACTGACCTAGGGGGTTCTACAGAGACGCCCAGCAGTGGCTATCACTTCAAGGGGCCTGAGGGTCTACAGCTAGGTAGGACAACCAGGTCACAAAGCAACAGAAGCCCTGGCCTGACGAGCCCGGTGGGCAAGCAAGCAGGCCAGGCATCGGGGCACAGTCCTTGGAAGACACCAGGGCACAGTAGAGAGAACAGGCTCATGCCTCCCTCCAGTCAGGGGACTTATGCCAGTAACCCAGAGCTAAGAAGGTCACAGAGAGCAAAGAAATCTCCTAAGTACCTAGAAGATTACATAACATTGTTGGCAAGACAGAAGCCAGTAAACAGTGGGAACACTGGGGAGCAAATTGTCGTGTAAAATAAATGTTGTATGTTGATAGTAGTTTTAGCCCGGGGGAAAGGGGTGTTATGTCCCGAGCCTTGCAAACGGCTCGGGCGTTTGCAGGCAGTCCCGGGCAGGTGCAAAGCTGCCCGGGACCAGACAGGCTGTCGCCAGCGCCGTGCGCATGCGCGGGTGCTGGCGCGGGAAAAGTAACCCATTTACCCGGGAGTTGCCTATATAAGAGGCTGTGAGGCGTTTGGGCTGAGCTGAAGCCATCTTCCTGTAAGCTGAACGCTGAATAAAAGAACCTGAGAACTCCAGCTGCTTCTCGTGTCTGTTGTCCCGCCAAGGACGCAACAAGTGCCCTCAGGAAAAGTATTTGCAAGCCACTTCTGCCAATCCAATCAAACAAGGAGATGTTTTCTTCCCTTTCGCCTCTGACTATCCAAGTGTTTTTAAAGTATCTTATTACCTTTGGATGAGCTTCTATTAATCTATTAACAGACATTCATAGCTGCATATTTTCCTTATGTCACATAAAATGTTGAAAACATTATACATCAAAAAGTGGTTTCAAGCTGTTAGGCAACATATGTGCTTCCTGGAAGATCAAGAGTTTGAAGGCTGTTTCACATAAAAGATGCCCGGGTGAAAAGAGACCAGGGCAGAGAAAAGAGCAAGCTTCCCACATCAACAAGCCAGTTTATCATAGTTTCTAAGGAGTCAAATAAGACACAGTGAGTTTGTTTTTTGGAATTTTCTTCCCGCTTTAACAGAAATACAGATGTAGGAAAATAATGCAGATCTTAGAATGAGGTGCTCTTATTGCAGATGAGAGCCATTAAATTCTATTTTTACACAACAAAAGAAATCATCTTTTTCAGTGAAAAAATAGTAACTAATAATATCAATGAATATAATGCATAATTATATGTTAAAATATTAAGAATGAAACAAACAAAAGTGACTAGATATCTCAGAATGCATAAATATGAGCTTACAGGAATTCAAATACCTAGTTACAAACAGACAATCCTGGAAATTATTTCCATCAGGTCACAAAGGACTGGAAGCAAATTGAACAACTTCTTCTATAAATTCCATTTTTAAAAATATTAATAAAAAACTTGAAAGAACAAGGGAGAGTAGTTTTAAGAACTACTGAAGCATCAGAAAATATAAAACAAAAGTTATAAGTTTGGTATGTATTAAATTTCATGAGCTAATAATTATGTGCACCATAATTTCTGACTGAAAATACTTGAGACAATTATGTTGGTATTTTTAAATTACAGATAACATGAGACTTTGAGAACTGAACCTTTAACCACAGTAGCTGAAAATCGGTGGCATAATTTTATGTCAGTTTGAATGAAAAACATTAAAAACTGTACTGTGTGCCTTAACATAGACTTAACAACCAGCCTAAAGAACACACATACCTTCCTACTTTGCATTATCCTCCCCAATTATTGTATGGTGGTTCCCAAACAAGCCCCCCCCCCAAAAAATTAAATGTAAACCTCAGCCTTAATATTCCCCATACCATCTTAAACTGAAATTTCAAATTTGATTATTCTACATAAATTATAAAGTGATAAGCATTCTTTTTAATATAATCAAACATAATACACTGTAATAAGTTCTATTCAGTAGAAACTGTACTTGACCTGCATTGACAATATTGTAATATATCAGACATACAATGAATTTTATTTTAAACCATTTCCAGATTTTTATAAGGAATATAAGTAATAAACAAATAAAATAGTTGAAGTCTCTGTTAAAATCACAGATGTAAATAATTCCAATCCAATAATTCCAATCAATTCCAGGAACTGAATAACATCAAGAAGAGAAATCTTGAAACCTTAAATTAGTAGTTTCTCTTCCAAGGAAAACTATTTAATTATAATTATTAACTTGTTTTATTTAAATGCAAAATGAGGAATCAAAAATTACTATGTTGAGTATAAAGATTTAACTAAGTACAAAATGTAAATCATAGAACTTTGCAATAAATATCCAATCCTATTTTAAGTTCTTTTTCTTGCTATACATTCATATACGATAGTATAGACTTGTATTTCAATATCCTTACCTTTTCAACAGCTTTTCTTTTTGTATCCAAATCCATCCAGTCATTTTCATTTTCCAACATGTCTATAAAGGCCCATCGAATTCCTTCAGTCAGCTCTGCCATCTGAAGGAAACATTATCTCCTTGAGAAAGGTGCTATTTTCAATCCAATACCAAAGAGGGAAGAAATCTATATGGACAAGTATATTTCTGTGCAAATTGCCAGCGTGGATGCAGTTGTGCATCTAGTTATACATTCAATATTTGCATTATTTTGCTCCCAGCCAATAACATGGACGAATTGAACATTCTTCAATTTAAGAATAAGAAGTAATAGGTCTATATGCCCTTCAGAGACCCTAATACACTTTAGTTTTCTCTATTCTTTATCCTATAGCCCATTTTTAATATCCTAAAGGTGTTTTGTATTTCAGTTCCCAAATGTTTTTACCCTGTATTGTATTGCCAGCCTCTAATTTCAGTTCTAAGAAAGCTCATACTAACAAAACTGTTTAAGACTGATAAAAATTACAATATTGTTATGAAATGTATTTAGGTTGAAAGAAAGTATGTAAAAGCATCAAAGTCAGATTTTCCTCTAAATATCCATCTGAAATGTGAAAACAAATATTGGCAAAATACTCAGAAAAAGTGGAGTAAGTGAAACTTCTAATATCACCTAAATCTAAGAAATAGGTTTAGATTAACATTATTGTATTAAACTTCCATTAATATTATAACAGAATTGTTGACTTCAAGATGCTGCAACACTTCTGTTCCTGTTTCAGTTCAGCTATCACACTAGAAACTGCTGGCTAAAATTGTGTTTTCATATTGATTTATGTAGAAAAAAGAATGCCCTTCTCTAAATGACCTAGGGGACTTGTAGCATCTTACTTTTATGATTCATTAATGTCTTTTTGATATCACATTATTTTTATTCAACATGGAAGTCAGTACAGATCTAAGACAGAATATGACTGAGCATTCAACAATCAAGAGTAAACTGCATCCCAGGGAATAGGTTAACTCAGAGAATATTGATGGCAGAGTAATGTTTCAATTAACTTAGTGCACTAATGAGCTGAACTCCCTGAACTTGGAGGTTGCCAGTTCATATTCTAGATTTTACAATTAGGCTCTGGGGTATATTCTGATTTTTGTGCACATTTGTAGCAATAGTGCTAACAGGAAGAATGTACTTATACCCCCAGAGCTCTTATTAAAATAGTTGAGGCCATTCACACTGCTTAGGCTGTAGGTCAATAATATTGCTAAATATAGTTCATAAATATTGTCTCTTTGTTCAAAGCAGAAATGCAAGATGACAGCCAAGGCATGAGTTCATCAATGACTACATTTGAGAATGCCATAATAGATTATCTGTTTTGTAACAGGCATCTACAACTAAGAGGATATGGGAATGCCATAATTTCATAATGTCTAAGCAGCTGAAACATGATTGATAAGCTAAGGAAATGAAAAGGACCCACTTTAAAAATGAAATAAACCAGAGTATTTATTTACATCTTGTCCATATTCATATTAAACCCCAACATTTCTGAAAGATTTACCACAAAGAGGCATGTACAAGGCATTAATGGAGCAAGCATGCCTAGGGTTATAAATATGCATGGCATTGTTCATTCAAGATTTGATTTACAGTTTTCTTTCCCAATTTTTTTCTACAAGACATTTTGGGTTATGCCTACAGTATATTCAGGCACATTCCAATACATACACAGCCATCACACTATTTTCTGGTGCAGTAAGCAACTTTATACAAAGTACCTGTGAAGCTATGAAATTTACTGTCTTTAGGACTGGCGTAGTGCTTCTAGCTTGCCTACAGTTATGGGGTAAAGGAGGGAGAATTTGTGATCCACAGTGTTATGTCCCGAGCCTTGCAAACGGCTCGGGCGTTTGCAGGCAGTCCCGGGCAGGTGCAAAGCTGCCCGGGACCAGACAGGCTGTCGCCAGCGCCGTGCGCATGCGCGGGTGCTGGCGCGGGAAAAGTAACCCATTTACCCGGGAGTTGCCTATATAAGAGGCTGTGAGGCGTTTGGGCTGAGCTGAAGCCATCTTCCTGTAAGCTGAACGCTGAATAAAGAACCTGAGAACTCCAGCTGCTTCTCGTGTCTGTTTTCCCGCCAAGGACGCAACACTGGCGACGAAGGTGGGATGCCTTGCACTACCTGGAAAGGAAAAAGTGTAAGCTTACCCAAGGAGTCCTGAGCGGCGGAAGAGGAACGGTGTTGACTCAGCAGCTGCCCGCCAATCCAGTGCGCATTCGGGGGTAGGCTGGCTGATAGACCCGTCTCCTGAAGATCCGAAGATGGCGAAAATCGGAAGGCTTTGCGGAATTCGACGTCTCACATCCAGAGCGGTGGGAGTCCTACGTATCCAGAATGGAGAACTACTTCAAGGCAAACCAAGTGAGGGAAGATAGCTTGAAGGCTGCCACCCTGCTTTGCGCTTGCGGCCAAGACGCCTTCGAAATCGCAGAAAACCTTGCAGCACCTGTTCCAGTAGAGTCTGTAAGCTACGCAGACCTGAAGAAGCTGCTGAAGGACCCCTTCCACCCCAAGGTGTCCGTTATCTCATGGCGCCACACCTTCGAGCAGAGGGATCAACGGTCCGGTGAGTCAGCCAAGGAATACATCGCCGCGTTTCGGAAGGCCGCCAAGCCCTGCGAGTTCAAGGACCTCGAGGAACGACTGAGGGACCGATTCGTGTGCGGGTTAAGGCATCGCGAGCTACAACAGAGACTTTTGCTAAAAATGAAGATTATCCTTCCAAGACCTTTAAGGGGAAGCCACCGCGAAGAAGCAGCAGGCCGCGCCGTCAAGAACATGCGCCGATCAGAAGCAGTGCAGAGGGTGACGTCCGTGCACCAAGAAGACGTCCGACGAAACTCCGAGGAGTATCCGACGAAGAATCGACGTCTTACAACCCCGCAATGGATAAAACAGAAGGGAAGCTCTTCAGCTCCGCTCAAGTACATCGGCTGTGGAGGTCGCCCCAGGAGAACCGACTGCAAGTTCCGCTCCGCTACCTGCCGGGCATGCGGCAAACAAGGACACATTGCAGCTGTGTGTCTGGGCCGACGAAAGGTACAACCTCAGGAAGAACCGCGCCTGAAATGTACCAGATTCCCCAGCCAGAATAGGGTAGGGTTTTGCGCTTCGCGAAGAAGCATCCTTAGGACAGGCACACACAAGCCCATTAAGAAAAAGCTGTCACTCAAGGTGAAGCTACAAGGTGTTCCATTATCTATGGAACTAGACACAGGGTCTGCCTTTTCAATTATCTCCTTGCATACATTTAGGAAGATTTGTTCCGGTAGTGGAACTCAGGCCAAGTTAAGGCCTTCTGACATTGTGGTAACAGATTTTCAAAATTCAAGAGTGTGTGTTAAGGGGAGGGCCACCCTTAACGTGCAATACAAGATTTTTGAAGGTCCACTAGACTTATTAGTAGTAGGGGGTGAACGAACGAGTCTCATAGGACTCGATTGGTTTGAGGCCCTGGGGATACACGTCACAGGACTCAATAGCTTACAAACACTCGACCTACAGGAAGTCTGCAAAGAATTTGCAGATGTTTTCAGCCCCAGCTGGGCACATTCAAAGGACCACCTGTGTCCTTAAAGCTAGACCCCACTGTCACTCCCCTTAGGATTAAAGCAAGAAGGGTCCCTTTTGCTTTAAAAAGTAGATTGACACTGAATTAGACAAACTAATCCAACAAGGAATCCTAGAACCTGTTGATTCCAGCCCATGGGAGACCCCCATTGTCACGCCTCTAAAGGCAAATGGGGACATTCGCATTTGTGATGATTACAAATGCACACTCAATAAGGCATTGCAGCAACAGCTATCCTGTTCATGTGGTCAGTACATCCTGGCCTCTCTCAAGGGGGGGCGTGTTTTTGCAAAGGCTTGCCTAGTCAAGCATATCAAACAGGCCTGTTGCTAATTGATGCTGCCATACGCAGGGACTATCGTGGACCACAGGGGAGCCTTTAAGGTAAAAAGGCGCAGTTTGAGTGAATGTCGCTCCGGATTTCCAAAGCGATAATGGAAAACACACTACGAGGTATACCAGGGGTCTGCCCCTACATTGACGATGTCTTGATTGCAGGAGACTCCACACACATTCTAGCTGAAAGGCTTAGGGCTGTCCTGTTAAGATTCAGGAAATCAGGCCTCAAGCTCAGAAAAGACAAATGCCAGATTGGGGTGCCTTCTACTGAATTTCTGGGATTCAAAATTGATGCTGCTGGATTCATCCTGCTGAATCCAAACTAACTGCTATTTTAGATGCACCCAGGCCAAAGTCTAAGGCCGAACTTCAGGCCTTTCTAGGCCTCCTGAATTTCTACAATTCTTTTCTTCCACATAAAGCTAGTGTAGCTGAGCCTCTTACAGGTACGAGACAACAAGCATGTGTGTGGCTGTTGGTCACACAAGCACATGTAGGATGTTTAAAGAAGTCAAGGCCTTTTGCTACACTTACTACAGTGTTCTTGCACATTTTCAACGAGTCTCTCCCTGTGTGCATCGCTTGTGATGCGTCCCCCTACGGGGTTGGAGCTGTCCTGAGTCACCTCAGGTCTGATGGAACTCAGGTTCCTATTGCATACTACTCCAGAACACTGTCTTCTGCCGAGCGCAACTACGCCCAGATAGACAGGGAGGCTCTGGCTGTTGTTGCTGGAATTAAAAAATTCCACGATTTTCTATATGGCAGGCATTTCACGGTCTTCACTGACCATAAGCCTCTGCTGGGACTGTTTACCACACGTACGCAGACTCCCCACATCATTTCCCCTAGAATGCTTAGGTGGTCTATTTTTTTGTCTGCATATGATTTTTCATTACTCCACAAGCCTGGGAAAGAAATGGGCCATGCTGATGGCCTCAGTAGATTGCCTCTGCCAGTAGTAGAAGCTGACCCCGCGCCAGCTGTCAACAGTCTATCAATCCAAGCCTTGCCCGAGCTCCCTCTTAGTGCCAGGGATGTTACCGCTGAAACAGGTACAGATCACACACTTTCACGTGTTCGCTCCTGGGTCCTGTCCGGGTGGCCTGAGCACTGCCCTAATCCTGAGTTTCAGAGTTTCTGGTCCAAAAGGAACGAACTGTCC